GTGAATGGACATCATACTAGTAGCAGAAAGCATCACAGACCAGGGAAAAATACTAAGGAGGATCAAGGAAGAAAGTGCAAAGGCAGACTTGTTGCTGAACATAAAGAAAACAAAAATAATGACCATAAAGGAACCACACAAATTCAACCTAGACAATGGGGCAATCAAAACAGATAAAGATTTTCCCATACCTTGAATCAAACAAGGAGACTGCAGTTAAGAAATCAGAAGAAAATGAGGAATGGGAAGGGCAGCCATGAAAGAACTATGGTAGATAAAGAACAAAGACACAAAAGAATTGTCCAAGCCACTGTATTCCCCATCACCATGTATGAGAGCTGGACAGTGAAGGATGCAAGAGGATGCAAGAGCTGGACAGTGAAGAAAGGGGGGGGGGGAATGAACTCCTTTGAGATGTGATGCTGGAGAAGAGTGCTGAGGATACCATGGATGGCAAAAAAATCAAACAAGTGGGTCCTTGAACAGATCAAACCAGAACTCCTCCTGGAAGCCACGATGATCAAATTGAGGCTGTCATACTTTGGTCACATCATGAGAAGGCATGACTCAATAGAAAAGACAATAATGCTAGGAAAGGTGGAGGGAAGTAGAAAGAGAGGAAGACCACATTCTAGATGGAGACCATAGATCTGAACAGAGTGATAGAGCATATGGGAACTTGGAGATGTCTCATCTATAGGGTCGCCATAAGTCGATGTCAACTCAAGAGTCACTAACAACAGCAACAACGACAACAACAACATGATGTCAATTTGATACCAGGGGAGAATATTTTAGAGAATTACTAGAGAACGAAAAGGATTTCAGAGGGTTGCTCACCTCATGGTGGCATTTCCCTGTAAATGATCCCATTAAAACCTTACCCGCAGCTGTCAGACAAATCCTCTACACAAGTATTACAATTCCTGGGGGCATCCTAGGAGGGCCGAGGGAGGGAAGGAGGGGAACGACGAGGCCATGAAGTTAAGTTAGATTTCTTTCTATTTTCCTTTTTTTCAGCGCGTGCCACTGGGCTATTCTCCGAGCATGTAGTCAAGCTTCCACGGTGGGGAAATTTGGCAAGTCCTCGAGGTGAGTAAGAATATACAAAAACGTATTTTAAAAGAGGGGAAGAAAAAACAAACCACATGACTAAATTTTATATATTAACTTGTTTAAAACCCGAGTCCAAATGTCAGAAAAAGAAGGAAAGGACAAAATGTAACATAAAGAAGGAAAATCCAGAGGAGGGGAAGGCAAGGGGGGTGAGTGGAGAGGGGGAAAAAATATAATAGTGTCTTTGTGCTGGAACCCTTTGGTTCCCATTAGCTCCTTGAAAAGCCAGGAGATTATGAAATCCAATGTCTTAAGAAAGCCAGCATATTAGTTAAGAAAATAAATGTGGGAATGGGGCAAAGTAGGGGGGGACCGTGTGGGACAGGAGGGAGGGCTTGAGGCTGACAGCGATCCTTTCAGCCCCCGGTCTTTCTAAGAGCAGCCTTGACTTCAACAAGCATTTAGGACGGCTAGGAAAACATTTCAGGGGGATTGTGGCCCTGACTTCCCCTGGAATGAGGTCATATGAACTGGGAATGACTTCAAAATGCCAAAGCTCTAGGCCTTGAACTTCACCAGAGGACGGCCAGGCCCAGCAAAGACCCCAAAGACCAGCAATATCCTGGCAGTTTTGAAGGACAGGTGCTCATAAAGATGGTAGCGCATGCACCTCAAGGTTGGACTTCTGCAATGTGCTGTACGTTGGGCTACACCTGTACCAACTTCGGAAACTTCAGTTAGTTCAAAACATGGCAGCCAGGTTGATTGCTGGAACATCTAGGAGTGATCGCATTACACCAATGTTAAAATCACTCTACTGGCTGCCAATTGGGGCAAGGTACAGAGTTTTGGTTATTACCATTAAATCCCTACTTGGTTTGGGTCCAGGTTACCTATAGGATTGCCTCTTCCCATATAATCTGCCACACATGCTCAGGTCCTCTGGAGGACATTTATCCGGTCAGCCAGGACTAGGTTAGCAACTGTTGGCCAGAGGACTTTTTCTTCAGCCGCCCCCAAATTGCAGAATGACCTGCCAGGAGAGATTCAACTGCTGAATACACTGTCCGAATTTAAAAGAGCTTTGAAGACCAGTCTCTTCTGGCACAGATGTATCCAGATGATTTTTAAATTGAATTTTAAATATGGACTGTTTCAAAATGTATATGTCTTATTTGCCCTTTTAAAATGCTGTATGTTTTAATTAATGTTGTTCATTGTTGATTTGTGTTGTTCCCCTCCTCGATCAATGAGAAGAGACAGGTAAGAAATAATTTTATTATTATTATTACATTATTTATTATTATTATTATTATTATTATTATTATTTTGGTGGCAGACCTTTACTCGCCTACAGACAGCCTCCAAAGTTCAAACAGGTACTCACCTACAGGATGACACACAACACAGATGGGGATACAGGCTAGTCCCATTACAAAACTGGATCTGCCAGTTCAGCCCCATG